GTAATCATGCTTTGTCATTCTAATCCGATTTCCTACAGGAGACACGAGGTCTCCCTCAAGGATCATTTGTTAAATCTCTAAGTGCATATTCTACGCAATAGCCAATCCCGTGCCTTCCAATCTATCATTACCCAGCTACTACTACGTCGTTGTCGAAGATTTGAGATTTTCCCCTACTATCATTGCTGACTGATATTTACATTCATACAGTGGAGAATAGCTGTTGTCATCGTTTAAGACGAAGTTAGACGACGTTGACTCGTTGAGTGTAGAGTTGTCACACATGGTTTATGGACTGCTGTACATACTATTTATAATTATTCATTGTTAAAAAGAAAGGTGCGTGGATTTATGGTTTTATGCAGATGCAGTCAGATCTATTATTGCAAGGGGAGTTCTCAATATTTTCCTATTACGAGGTAGGTGGTATATAAGATAACATTTTTAGTATGTATTGGGAATACTTGACATTGTCAATGTGAGTTTGTCATAGCAGTTATGGTTTATTTCTATACCCCGGAGTTCAGGGTTCTCTGCGATTTAATTTTGAGGTGCCACGGAGTTATTTTCTTATATGGTTAAAGTTGTTCCGAGTCAAACCTGTGATCAAAGTGTCAAACCAACTTTGGTATGACCTTAATTGATTGACATTGAAATGATGAGAATAATACTTACTTCCTCATAGCAACAATCAATACTCCAACTTGGTAAATATTATAAATATTGGCAAACATCACGACATTCTTGTTATTTAGAAGTCAAAATTTAAATTCAATCATCTTAATGAATTTGCTATGCATAGATTTTACAAATCTGCTGATTTTTTCTGCCTGACTATTAGAGCAAAGTTATGTTGGCCTTCGTTCGATCGAAACGTGGTTCTCCTTGTATTTTTCAGGTACGTAGTTGCATCCCTATCAATCCGAAGCTTTCGATATTTTCCATGCCCTTTTCCAGTAGCTTCAGCCATATTTTTATTCTAAATTTTATTTTACATTATAATGAATTTGATATTATTTGTCATTTTGAAAAGAAAGGTCAAACCAGAAAACAGACATTTGCCCCCAGTCTGCCTCTCAAAAGGGGTTTTTTTTGGGAGTTATTGAGGGCGCAAAATGTGCGCCCGCCCGCCTCAGAATTGTTATTTATAAGTAATAGCATGGCTTGAGGGAGATTAGTGATTAAATGGCCCCGTAACCCGAGGCAGGTTTGCGGAATTCCGCAAACCTGCCGAGGGTAAGGGGTCATTTAATCACTAATCTCCCGAAAAGCCATGCTATTAGTTTGTAATAGCATAGTTTCGCTCCCATTTAAAAATGGACAAACATGCCCTACTTGGAATCAGCGTATTTAAGCTAAAACATTTGCTTCATTGCTTGTGGGATGTAAAAGCTTGTTGCACATGCGCACTTTTTACGCTTTAATCGGTTACGCATGCGCAATCTATCATTTAACGTACCACAACAAAACGCTAAATATATTAGTATAAAATTGGAGACTGCACGAACGTAATTTAAATGATGCGGCAACTCAGGGATCGGATGATAGACTATTGACGGCTCTGAGCTAACTGTTGCTGTTCCTTGCACGATTATGTGCGTGAGGCACTTGCCCAATGCGTAGTCGTCAGGGAGACAAAGGTGTGACCCTTGGTAACGGGCGATTAGTTCTAATCGCCCGCTCTAGCGGGCGATTAGAACTAATCGCCCGCTACAGCGGGCGATTAGTTAGTAATCGACCCTGTTGAAACAAAAGAAACCCGGGCAACTATGCTATTACAGCTGTTTAATTGTTATACGGGATTAAATCATATGAAAATTAATTTAAGGTATAGTAATAGCACAAAACATGATTGGAGGTATTTTAGTGTGTGTGTGGGGGGGCGGGGGGCATCCTATTCCAACTATAATTGGATTCTGAATCAACTCAATGTACCTATAATTGCAATTTTAATTGGATATGAATTAAACTATATTTGCTAATCACAAGTTATGGTGAGCGAGAAATATGACACGAAATCTAAATTATAATCTTAACATGAATTTTAAAATATAATGAATCGGATGGAACTGAAAACAACACATGAAATAAGGAAACGGAAGTAAAGAGCGTGGCTAATTGCGAGTTGTCGAAAAAAAATCATCCGTCATTCAACCATTTCAACCAGGTCATGAAGACACTCGCTTTCCTTCTTTTGTTCTACCTAACACTTTTGACATAAGAAGGGCGGAATTTTTGACATGAGGGGCGTACATGTCTCCAATAAACTCCCTCCCCGAATCCCCACAACATTGATTCTCCTTGAAGAACGTAATTGAATGTCTGAACCAATATCAAGTTTTGTCTAACAATACATTTTTCATCACGGAGACAATTTTTGCAAGACAGAATTGACGAATGTTCTCGTAATTTTTCCATCCTTTGACTGTATTGATGCTAATGAATTGAATTAACAAATTGGTTTATTCGGCGGTCATTAACATTATTTGTCACAGGTATTCTAATAATTACAGTCTTAATAAGGTTATCACCGGGCAAAGTGGTTTGTAAGGTCAAACCGTCAGTAGGTTAATTAAACTGGTCTGTTGTTCTAATAATAACCTATTGGCACGTGAGCCTATAAATTTAAGCAATCCAAACTGATTAACACATTTCAAATTGCTGAAATATTTTGAATTGAAGCAGCATTTAAATCAAGCACGTAACATTGAATTCTTTCCGCCCTTTTCATATTTCTGGCTCCATAAAATAACCGCGTTATCAGTAGCGTAAAGCAATGTTATCAGTAGCGTAGCAATAGAAAAAGTGGACGGATGAGGGCAATCAGGGCATGGTCCCAAGGGCAAGGCCAAGGGGGAAAATGGATTTTGAAAGGTGTGTGCAAGTTAGACAACGTCCTGCATTCTGAAGCAATTTTTTACCTAATATAAAATGGACTTTGCCTATCATTTCAGATATTCAAATATAATATATCTTACAGTAGTTAAAGCCGTGCAAAGGCTCAAAATGCCAGTCGCGAAACCAACGTGATTATTCGTCGACATGCCAAAGAACATACTCTCCAACGATTGTGAGAAAACGACATTTTCCAAAACCTCTTGGGAGCAAAGAAAATGTATGAGTTTGGTATGCTATATACTGCGGTATATAAAGCTGATAAAGCCCCTTTTCCATTCATCACAAGAGTCAACTTGGAAGTTCGCCGCGAGTGCTTTCATACTGCTATTGTTATTACCATTCGCAACTGGAATTCATCACTGCCAAACGTATAAGAGGAGCGATCACTGTGGTGGAAATGAACTGATTTCACATCGGATTTGGAAGATTGGTTTTGAAGAGAACAAAAGTTAATAAAGAGAAAGACATGAAATCAGGAGCGACTGGGGCGTAGGAAGCATCAAAAGGCTGGGGGGGGGGCACCGGATTCGAAGGCACCTAAAAACGTTTCGAATTGCAACGTACAATCAACGTTTTTGATCACATTTTTTGTAAAAAACATCGACCAAAAGTTAAATTTATTTATTTCATGGACATTTATTTATTGAAGGGCACTTTTCTCAAGAATTGCAGGTTATTTTCTGAACAACATTTTTCACGAAGACAACCATTTGCCACTGGAGAGAGGGCACTTTATGTGTCTTCTGAAAACGTGGGGGCCTAGGCCCCCTTGCCCCCCCCCAGTTCCTACGCCCCTGCATGAAATAAACTTTGCGCAGAATACCGCATGTATGCCTGCGCGCCATGCCACACAATTGACTGAGAACTACATACAGTATAAAGCTACAATTCTTTATTGAATATTTAGTGCAATAGACCAAAGGTTGAAAATTATCACTCCCATAGGAAAGTTTGTCGGGCTTTAAGAAAGGATTACAACAATCAATGAAATTTAAAATTAACAGAATAAGTCATGCTAAATGAAAAAGACAACGCATTTCTAATATACATCAAATTAACAGCGCTAAAATTACAAATATTCAAATATTCTACATTTGCACTTTATATACTATATATACGCAATAAATCTATGTAGCACGGTTACGTTGCAACCGTATTCAATCAAGTCGTACACAAGGCATTGTGTTATGGACTGTATTGTGCAGGTATGCCGAGTAATAAATATTGATGTACTTACAATGGTACTTGAAGGGCCAAATGAGTCTGCGAGTGCAAGTCAAAATTGTACAAACAAAACTGGAAATATTGCTGTTGCCAATAGAAATACATCATTATATCTCGCATTTTTGCACTTTGATTCAATATGAAAATGCCAAATACAATCAATAACACAATCAATATTAGTAATTCATGAACTGGCCAAGAACTTATGAATTCTTGGGATGTTGCCTGTGCAAAGAATACGTACAAATATTTTCAATTTAACAAATACGTGGTCCGTACTATTTCCGGAATAGTGAGGGAGAACACAAATAAATGTAACTATAAATACATATTGACAGAAATATTGATTTCCTGAAGAAATAAATAGGTTATATCGATATACAATTTCTATGAACTACGTAGTTTACGATTGAAGTTGATCAGAATTACACTTGGCTGTGTTCGTTGAGAGTCGCCTCGATCCCGTCAGCCTGAAAAAAGAAAAGTAAAATCTCAGGTCCTTTCATAAAGTATTTGTTTCAACGAATGAAGGATGGTGGACCTCAAACATAAATTCGACGAAGTAACACAGCGCATAGAAAAGCATATATCCTGTTCTATTAGTCATCTAATCAACCTTGTTCCCAAGTTATCTGTAATTGATTGCATTGTAATAAATAATCCAGGGGATAATCTAGGTCATATTTTAGTTTAAATTCAATGTGAGTTGTCCTGGGACCTGAGTGTCCAGTGTAGTGTAATTATTCCAGCCAACCTTTAAAGGGTATAAAACTCTTATGGTAGCGATCAGTTCTACAAACTGGAACCTTAAAACACCTATTATGGCGTAGATTGTGTTCGTTAACCCTAAGAGCTGGAACGAGCGAGTTTAATTTGTGACCTGGATCAAGCATTCTGTGGAAAAGTCGTTCACAAAGGATGCTTCGGTGTTCGTACAACGATGGAACGTTATATTTACATGCAAGTTCCATTTCAAGTCATTCGAGATGGTAACGCCTAATAACTTGGCATGCTTTGTAATGAGGTATACTTACAGATTCCATTCGAAGGCTTGCTGCACTTCCTTGTGCAGTTTTACGTCCACGTGAAGTGGCACTTTTGTTGCCACCCTGGCTGTACAATGATTTAGCTGTAGGTGCTCGCGATCCACCACGAGAAGCAGCAGTGCCAGGTCGAGAGTCACCACCACCTGAACGCAGGCTAGCATTACTACTCCATGAGTTATCCAACTCTTCACGTACAAGTTTCTCCATTTGATCGCGCTTCAAGTCTTCTTCAGATTTGGAATTCGTACCCTGCAACAACAAAACAACTCAGATTAAAATCTTATTTTAGCAATCCTCCAATAAAATGTTTTAACTTGGGGGCTGTGAAGAATTTTTATCTTTTTCAGATTAAGGGACTGTCGTGCACTTCACCCAACGCTGTATGCTCCTTGAATAAGCATATCTTATTCAATGTTCATTTTCAGCAATTATACTAAGTTTTTGTGCTTTGTATTTGAAACACCAAAAAGGATTAAAAACAAAGAAGACAAACTTTCATAATATTAGGAAGAAAGAGAGAAAAAGAAGATGTGGGTGGTAAACTATGCAGAGAGGGTGGAGGAACTAAGATTGAGATTTTAGGTAAACATAACAAGAAGAAATGTAGATTAGCTGGAGAAGAGATGGATAGACTGACGATAAAAAGTTTAAATATAATGGGTGACTATGTGTGAGTAGGTTACCCCCCCATATAGCGACGGAAGTAATTAGTATTCAAGCAAATGACGTCAACAAGGGGTGTACGTCCAAGCGTTCGTACGTGGTACGTCCAAGCGTTCGTACTTAGCGTGCGTCCAGTTTAGTAAGCATTATGTAATTGTATTGCACATGTCCTGACCAAGTATGCGTTCTTCAAGGTCGAATAATGTTGATGAAGTTTCGCCTATGGAATTTCGGAAGCTATGCAATTTGTTAGAGACAATATTTGCACAAACTGTTTCTTGCGAGGTTTATGAGCTTTTCGAAGAGAGGTGCTGTGGTTGTAAACTAAATCGCTTTAGTCAGAGTGAGTGTCTTATGTTATCGTATGAGGAGAGATCGCAGATGTATGATTTGGAAGCCATAGAGCGAGTTAGCAAAAAAGACGTGGTATGGAATAAGTTTGTTGAGGTGTCCAAAGTTTTAGAGCTTCAGTGGGATGAAAACGTGTTTGAATATTGGAATCAATTGAGGAGAGACCCCATGTATGTTAAATCAATGATGAGTGTGGAGAACAGTGAGATGCTGAGTATTCTAGACCAACTTTCTAACTGCAAAGAGGATTGTTGTGATGACCCACTTGAACCTGGGGCTATGGTCTTTTTCTCAATGCCCCCTAGTTTTAAGTATACTGTGAAAGCGACAGGCGAGCAATTTAGAAGTCATGAAGAAGATCATCATAAGGCATATGTGGAATATTTGAGAAGTAAACTTTGAGATTCAGTGTAAATATGTTAATAATCGAGTTTCGTTTTTATTCTTTTTGTAAAATTGGTGGTTCTTAAAAGAACCGGTGTTTTGGGTTTGTCTTTACTGTTGCAGCCACATCGCAAAAGCCTCTACTTCCACTTTTGCGCAGTGTTGGTAAGCGTTGCTTTCCAGGTGGTTCCCACAGGTTTCTAACCAGATCAATTGATCAAATAGTTTTTCAGCTTTGGGACAATTAAAGCATTCCAAATTTACGGCCGGAATACGGAGACTCGCCAGCAAATCCCTTTCGTAATGTCCGCCTTTGAAGGCAATTGTAGAGTTTGAATCTATCTGTATTTCACGGTAGAAATTCTCTACAATTGCCTGCAAGTCCGAAATTTGAAATGCTTTAGTGCCCCGTGGCACTCCAAACGGGAGTCTATGTATATTCTTCTGGACGAAGTTACACGTTCTCTTGTCTTTGTCGTTGAGCTCGTTCCAGTGCAAGCCAATATCGAAAAAGAACGACGAGGCTTCAGAGTCTCCGACCTTTATGACTCCCAACTCCTTACAGAAAAATTTCTTTCCAATTTGAAATCCGTCCATGTCAAGGATCCCGACGATGTCTGCTTTACACTGCATGTTGACTGATTGATTGTGATGTGAGTTAGATTGTTTGAAACACTAATCTGCGTTCTTGCGTGCGATATAACTATCGCGTGTACAAAACGTTAATCCATGTGTTAATTTATGCATGCAGTCAACCAACGCGGTAGCTTTGGCAACAATAATTTGCTCTTAAAATCAGTGCGATTTATATAGGGACACCTCTCAAAGTGTCCTGCAAGCAAGTCCCGGGCGTCCCATGCATATGAGCACATGCTCATAAGTGCTCATGAGCACATGCTCATCTGCTCATAAAACTGCAATACTGCTCAATAGCAAGGCATTTCTGCACAGTCAGTGCTAACGGAATGAGCTGCCAATTTTTCGGAAAGCAATTTAATCGTGGTTACAATCTACGAAGACACGAAAAGGAATACTGTCCCCTAGGTGCACAAGAAAGAAACATGTCTCAAACGGACTTGGATAGCCAGGAAAGGGATTTTCAAGACGACGTTTCGATTACTTCAACTGAAGTGTCTGAAATTTCGACGATGACTGATAATGAGTCA